ATACTACGATTTTTATGCAGGGCTGGGCACCACCTCAAGAGTGTCGCATAGTTACTTAGGCAACATTTCACGAATGAACGTCTTATAGGCCAACACTTCCCCTCTTCCCACCAGACCTCAACCTCTGTGACTTTTGTCTATGAGGTTATCTCAAAAGCACTGTTTATGGTGATAATCTAAACAATTTGGCAGAAATGAAAAATGTGATACACTGATAACATTCCTCCTGATATGCTATGTGTAACGTGTATACGAGCCAGTTTCCCTTAAAAAGTCCTCCACGAAGGCATCCCTCCCTTAAGGCAGATAGCCCTCGAGTGCTTTGCCGTAATCTAATAAACCAAACCAAAACCAAACCTGATATGCTAAGAGCTGCTGTTGAGAATGCAGTAACATGATTTAACTTGCTTTCGGAAAATGCTGGACGCTACATTGAACATGCTTTGTAACACGTTTCGGAAAATATTAAACACATTTTAAACAGATGTTTTCGTGTCTTATTTCATTTAACAATATTGTATACAGCGCCATTTTTCCCCCTGATGGTGAGTTTTTTGAACTCTTTTTTTTTTTCCGCCGGAAAATAAATTCTCATAACCTCCTTTACACGATTCCCAAGTTTGATAACATTTGGTCCGGTAGTTTTCCTTTTATGACCATTTCAAAGTTGGAACTTTAATTATAACCACCATGTAAAATTAAACTTTAAAAGTCTGACAGTTTGGTTCAAGTCCCAGCTTTAAAAAATATATATATAAATATAATCTTTTATATTAATTCTCTTAGAAAGAATGTTTTAAGAAGCTAATTTTTTTTTTTCTCTCGCGTTATAGATTGTATAAAAAAACATGATCTTTAATATGATTTAGATTGTTTTTCAGCCGATATAAGAATCGGGTTACTCTGGTGGTACAGAATAAACCCTGCTGGACTGTTTTATTTCTTTGTCATTTAGCAAAAATCTTTTAATTAAAATATTTATCCTTTGGACTTCGCTTTAAACTTTATTTATAGCTTAAAATGACTAGAAAATGAAAAGCTGTCTTTAGCTGAAACGCAATTCATATAATTGATATTTTAAAAAATTGACAAGAATGCAAAATGTATGGAAGTCTAGCAATCGAAAAATCTTAATTTTCTTGTGTGAGCACTGAAAATAACTGTAGAAGGAAAGAAGAAAATTAGGGAGAAAAGTAAGCAAAAATTTGCAGGGAAATTTGGCTGTCAGACATACCAAGATGTTTCAAAAAGTTGGACGCTTTCGAATATACTTTCAGGATACTTCAAAGAATTTAGGTGTTCAAAGAGAAAACACTTGGACGTGTACACCAGCAAATACCATCAATTGAGCTTGTGTTAACAGAAAAGACAAAACGATATCATTGCAGATTAAAGTGAAGAGCGACTGGTTTTAAACTATATGGTTGTGTAAATTTACGTTATAGAACATCATATCGTATCATAAATGGAGAATCCCATGATTTCCTCAGTCGAATTATTTGAAGATTCAGGAGTTTATCCAGTGATATATGTGGATGTCACCTAAAGATGTTTTTTTTTCCTCCTGATGAAACAGCGGCCGAGCGGTAAAGTCGCTGAACACTGGTAGTTCGGTCCGAGGTTCGAATCCCGCGAACGGGCTGGCTGCATGGGCGTTTTCGTGGTTTTCCCCATGTGTAACGTGTATGCGAGCCAGTTTCCCTTAGAAAGTCCTCCACGAAGGCATCCCTCCCCTTAGGCAGATAGCCGTAGTGTGCTTTGTCATAATTAAATAAACCAAAACCTTTTGATGAAACCAGTCTTTCCTTTCATCTCATACCTTCAAAATGTTTAGCCTCTAAAGACTGATAAAGGCTCTGACGAAATACTTCGTGAAGAACTTTCTAAGGGAAACCAGCTGTCATACGCGGTACACATGAGAAAATCCACGAAAACGCCCATGCAACCAGCCCGTTTACCGGGATTCGAACCCCGGAGTGAACTACCAGTGTTCAGCAACTTTACCGCTCGGCCGTTTGTGGGCCTTTATGAAATGGAAGGCGATAACTTTATTTAAAATGATTGTCAGAAATACCAAAATGTTTCGAAAAGTTGGATACTTTTCAATATACTTTCAGAATGCTTAAAGAAACAAGAGAAGAAAAATAAATTTTTTCATAAAATTTAGTATTCGTATTTTTTTTTAAATTTAAAACTTTTCAATCTTATGATATTTGATTCTTGCGATTTCAAAAATAAAATATTTGACTAAAATATGAATAACATTTTAAGAAACCAAATGTAGGATAAAATTGTGTAAAGCAATGGGCACAATGATAAAACTGTTTAAAGCAGTGTATGCAAGTCATCCTAAGTTAAAATATCGGTTATACATCTCTCTTATTTATATATTTTTTTTTCTGAACGGAACATTGAAAGGCGTGTAAAACTGTGCTTTACTGTATTTTCTCTTTTAATATAGTATGCAGTTTTCAAACGCATCGTAGTCTGGGTTACAAAGTATTCTTCCGAAAAAACGCAGTTCAAATAAATAAAATCAAATTCTGGAAAATTGATATTAATAAATATATTTAAAATGCTCAGTTCGAAGGAATAAATAGAAAATTTTAAAACAATTATCTGAAGAGACAATGCAACACAAACAATTAAAATAAAAGTATAAAAATTTAAAAATTACCTAAAATAATAACTATGACGAAAAATATATATAAGAAAACTATTTGAAAAAAAAAAAAAAAAAAAATAACGCTGCACCTTTATTTACGCAGTTCGAATAGGTAAATAGAAATTTTTAAAACAGTTATTCGAAAAAAAAAAAAAAAAAAAAAGTGCAACTTAAACAATTAAAATGAAATTCGAAAAAGAAAAAATTACTTAAAATAATAAGTTATAATTAAAAATATAATATAAAGAATATTATTTGGAAAAAAGGAACGATGGTGACTTTTTTTCCTCTAAGGAAACTAGGTTGCCATATATTAAGAAGTTCGCCAAGTGAAGTATTCTTGGCGCAAACTGACAAAAAAGTGCCAACATAAATTTGTGAATTTCTCCGTAAATTTCGCTCCAAATTTTACAAAATTTCATATTTAGGCGTAATTTGAGTCGTAGAATCGAAATATGTAAAAAAAAAATTGGTATGTTACTTCAGAAAAAGTCCGATTTTGTGTCAAAACACCTATGTTAGAATAGTGCTATATATAAATCTAATATATATCCTAAGTCGCGCTTTCGAGACATGAAGAACGCAATTTGAATTTTGTCAATCGGCCCAGTAGATCGGGAGATATAGGACTGTCCCATTTTTTTTTTTTTTGAGCAGTGTACACTATTTCCTTTTTTATATTGTCGTTTGGCTTTACTCCAACAATTTTCAATAAATTTTGTGCTATTGAAATCATTTAACAGAGACACGCTGATGACTTTAATGATTCTTTTAATTTTTTATGGTCCCGCGTATAAGTCGACCCCCCACTTTGAAGTCTTTTTTTTGTCCAAAATATCTCGACTTATACGCGGGTATATACGGTATATACGAATGGAACTTATGGTAAATACGCAATTGCTTTTATGCTTCACAAGTATAATTAATAAAGATTAAGTTAATGTAATGTTTCCTGTTTTGTAATCATTCTTAAACAAAAATTTGCGTAGTTTACAATCGATATTTATACTCTAAGTAATGAAGCAAATTACAACTTAACAAGCTTTAAAACCCCGAACTGTTTACGCCCAGATAACAGAATATTAATTATACGCCCTATTTGTCTACTTTTAAGACTGTACCAAAGTCGTAATTGTGCCAAATTCTCTTCTGGGCATGCGCAATATACGAAATTCGTTTAACATTGATCAACTGAATGTGCAGTTTGCCATTACGCCATCCGTTTACCTCTTACAACGAAATGCTTTCCAACAATTCACATGTAAAAAATCTTCTTTCGAGCGCACATTCGTCCCTTGGACGGGTTCCCCGTGGCTCGTATCTTATTAAGAGATCAGAAAAGATTTTCTTTGTCTCTGCAGTGTACACAGAAAACGAAAAGGATCCTTTGTTCACAATCTAATTGTTTAATTTTTCTTGACGTCTAGAGCTCAACCTCTATTTTCTCAATATTTCTTGTTAAGGAATCCACAACATTTAAAAATAATTCTGAAGCCACAGTTTTTACGTAAAAATATCACTTTGTACATATTTCACAGTAATGTGAACCATTGCTTTTTCAGATTTTATATTCATCCTGAATCAATGAGAATCATTCTTACTTGTCTTGTGCAAAGAGGCTGAAATGGCACGATTTTTAAATACGGATCAGTTAACAGTTGATATGAACTTCATAGTCGAATGGACTGCTAAAATGAGATTAAAGCTTACCAAATTCCAAACAAGGAAGGAAAAGTAAGAGTTCTGTAAGAATCTTATCAAGAAGTTTAATGAAATGAAGAATTTTATTGGATGCCATTATTATGTTAATGAAAAACCTCACTACAAAAATTTTCATCATAAAAAGAAAAAAAGTAATAAAATCCTGAAAACGACGAACTAGTTATAAAGCTTCTAGGTAATGAAGTCGATGTTTGAGATAAGGATAAAAGTCATTTTAATCCTAACGATTTAGGGATAAATATTCTGAATTCATATGGTCGAAGGAACGTAGATTTAATTGTACGGCTGAGAGATAAAGATGAAGATGAAATGTAGATTTTGCAGAAGGCTTTTATTGAAAAAGCCGTAATAAATTAGTTGTTGCTAGGGAGTGGAGATCATCCACCACCCTTTTAGTTCGAGCGCCACTGTAGAGACATTAGGTATTTTTTTGGGAGCAGAAGAAGTGAAAAATGAGCAACGTCTTCGCCGGGAATTGAACCGAGGACCTCTGGAATACGCGCCCAGTGAACTCTACAAACAAAATTAAAAATATTTTTGATAACTGGCGCAGGCCTTCGGTTTGAGACCACTGACTTAAGTTTAAGTGGATGTGATTACAGGAAGTACTTACTTTCTGTGCGAATGGAATGACGCATAAGTGAAGCTTTTTCCTGCGTATTCTCCAAAAAACCTGCTGTCTCCAAGCCTGATATGATAGATTTCATTTCCGGAACATTTGCCGTAATCCTTGTGCCATTGCTCCTGAGATGCTTGACCTTCTCTATCAAGAAAAAGTAATAAATTTCATTAACCCGAAGATTTGACTAGAATCTAATAATTATTTCTTAGTTCTTAAATGAAAGCAGAAATTAATAAAGTCGTTTTCAAGTACCACAATATTTACAACTGCTATAGACCGTTAGCACATGCTAACAAACTAACCAACTGCTAAAACATCAACTAACAAAACCTTTAAGACGACTTGAAGATAAGTTAAATTACATTGCTACAAATCAGTCTTTTTTTTAGTGTCTGTTTAGTGGAAACTTGGGCTTCCAACCAACTGTTTTGGGGTTCCGCAGTTCGAAATCAATATTCAATTTTTCAGTTACTATACAGACCGCAGAACTAAACGTCTGAAATAATTACTGCTTTTTCTTTCTTATTACCCCCCTTTTTTAACTAATATTATCTTCCGAAAGTCGAAAGGGGAAAATTATGGGAATAATTTAATTTCCGAAAGATTCGGTTACAGTAAGAACATAACAAATGAAAAGGAGTCACGGATAAACTACAGGTAACTACAAAAATATTATTTCTTAAAAGAAACCTCATAGCAATATTAACTCACAATATTTAATATGATACCTTCATTTCTACTTCCTGTAATTATTATCTCGCCTGTTCTTATTGTTGTCCCTGCTACTCTTTAGGTCTCAGATCATCATCCATAAATAATAAGAAAAGGTGAATGGGTCTGCGAGTCTGCGTAACGTCATTTCGTGTTTGATTCGCTGGTATGGGTCGGTTCTTGTATTAGGTTGGAATAAAATTCAGCGCTTAGAAGAGAAAAGTTCGGCGTGAACTTCGCAGATATGTTGCGAGGGTTTTTATCTTTATGCGTCAATTACTACGTGAACGAATCCGTTTTAAAATTTAGGAGAGCTCCTTCTCTGAATGAACTGCGGAAAGGGAAAATTATGGAAATATTTAAAAAACGTTTCCTGGTCTTGTAAACCATTTGCTGCCAGGTTTTGTAATGAGCGATAAGCAGCAGAAACTTTTAAAATTAGTTATTTCATTAAGTATTTTATGTTTTTATGGATCTATAATTAATTTATATTTATAAATTACATATTTATTTAAGTAATGTAAATTAATAATGTCGTTTTCAAGTTTCGACTTAAATTCCCAAAAGTGCTTGAACTACAACGGTAGCTTAGTAAATAACTTAAAAATTTAAAATAATTCATGCATAAAATACGCAGATAAAAAAAGTTCAGTTTTGTTTTATCTACCTTTTTCTGTCACGCTTTAAGTTTATGTTTTTGAGTTTATTCACATACTGATAAACAGAACCAGAAAATAAGGCGGAAACATAAACAGGAGTTTTTTTTAGTTTTTGTTTCCATGGGTACGTAAGAAAATTGAGAATGTGGCTGCTGTTGACTCTCTAGGGTTACGGTTTACCGGATGCGAGAACGAAAAGTAAAAAGGAAGCATGTATGGAGTTTATCGCCTTTTTCAATTCAGATAGAAATAAAGTAGAACGCAGTGAGAATGAATTCCAAACACAAATGCATTTCGCAAGAGCATACTTTATTCAACCAATTTTGGCTTGAAAACGTGCAGTGGATTTTATTTTTATTGGCATTAAAAGCATCTATAGCTGGGGTGGCGAGACTTCATATCAGCTAGAACTGCATGTTGGAATTGAGGAAAGTTCCAGAGCCTCAGCTAGATTTCTAAATTCTAAATTTCTAGACACAACTCGGTGCTACTTTGGTAGACAGTTGCACGGATTTGGGCGATTTTTTGGCGATTTTTCTTTTGGCGAGTAATAAAACTTATGGTAAACCCATTGCTGGATAAGTTATTTATGGTAACCGATACTTAGTTGTCATTTTATTAAAAAAATAATGCGTTTTATTATGCATAACTTCCGTGTTTTAAATATTATTTATGGCTTCTAAATATTAAAAATCAATTTAATTTTACATTTTTATTTGAAATAAAAATTTTGTTGTTTATGATATTTTATATAATTTTATGTTGTGGATGATGTAATCAATGACGTCACCTTACTTAAGTAATTGGTTTTATTAATATCTATAAATTTAATCTATTGTTTTAAACATTATTTATGGCTGTTAAATATTAAAATACAATTTAATTTTGCATTTTTTTAAAAAATTATTTTTACGAAGGATTATTTAAATAATTTTAATTCTATGCGTGATGTAATCAGCTCCCTGATTGGTTACTGAATATTTGTGCATTACCGCGCCATTTTAAAATTTTATTATTCATCTCTTCGAATTCCTCAGATTTCAAATGGAATGGATATCTCCGTTTCGAAGATGAATGTTGTTATTGGTAATTACCAAGAATTATTGGTATTGGAATAAAAAAATTGCCCTTTGAGACCTTATTTTGGCCAACCTGTCTTTCCTAATCAAAGATTTATTTATAAATTGTTAATAGCGTCAGAGGAAATTTATTTTAAATTTTTGACGGAAACCTCGCTAATTGCTTCTTCAATGAAGTGCGAGATATGTGGATAACAGATGAAGATGGTTAAAAGAGCCGATTCAACTATGATTTCGATTTTTCTTGTGGTACTTTTGTGGTAAACAACAAAATTTTTATTTCAAATAAAAATGTAAAATTAAATTGATTTTTAATATTTAGAAGCCATAAATAATATTTAAAACACGGAAGTTATGCATAATAAAACGCATTATTTTTTTAATAAAATGACAACAAAGTATCGCTTACCATAAATAACTTATCCAGCAATGGGTTTACCAAAGTTGTATTACTCGCCAAAAGAAAAATCGCCAAAAAAATCGCCAAAATCCGTGCAACCGTCTACCAAAGTAGCACCTAGAAATCTTTATACGCTATTACTATGTTGCGCAGTTGCATGAGTTACCAAAAAAAAAAAAAAGGGGGGGGGGAGGAAAGTGATGCACAGTTACATAGGTATTATGAAAATTGGTTAACACCATAGACCTGTTATATGTACATTACAGCTCTATGGTTAACACTGTCAGTCACACTAAACAAAAGAAGCCCGCCTGCAATTTAAATACGAGTAATATAATACAGAGTATTTCAGATATAAATGTGGAAGTATGTAATTACGTAGATAATACGGCGACGCATATAATTCACAGTTACGTAGGCAGTTGCATAGATAATACACAGTAATATTTTCAGTGAATAAAAGTAGATTTCTACTATTAGTACACCAAGAATGAAAAACAATACTTATCATCATAATAGCTTGCAACCTTAAGAACTAAATATGTGGTTATAATAACATGGATTATATAGTTAGTAAATGTAGTTAATTTTAATTTTAATTTAGTCTCTTTTGTAAATCTAGTTACGCTTTATTGTTTAGTTACTGAAAAGATATTCCTAAAAAATTATACTCACTGTCCTCTAGATGTGTGCAGCAGAAGTGTGACCAAGGTTGATGTTCCTGGACATAAGCAATTATTGGCAAGAAGGGCATATTTGAATTCATCTTCACATACAACGTGCTCTGGAAAAGAAGAAATGCTTACTGCTCAGTTTAAAAACAAATTACATTCACGTAAAACTTAAAATTATATTTCTCTTTTTAATGCAGTACAGTATCGTCGAAGTTTGTCATTGGAAAAGAATTGTTCAACAACATTAATTATAGGGATAAATATTTTATACGTGAAATAAAATTCACCAAATAAAATGCTTAAAGTAACTACAGTGAAACTTCAGTAGCATATCAGAATTTTACTGTTTGCACCACCAAATACAGCGGACAAAATCTTTCTAAAGAAATTTGTATGAAAATTGTAACTTAATTTCTAAATTTTGGGCAGTTTTTTTTTTAAATCGCTGGACTTTTTGGACAATATAATTTTAAAATTTCAGCATCTAAAACTGTATTGAATATAAAGCTTCCAAATTTTCACACAATATAAAACAAATTTTTCGCACTCTTTTGAGACAAGAATAAAAAAAAAAAAAAAAAAAAAAAAAAAAACGGATTGCAATCTCAAATCAAATAGTCTAAAAAATACGAAAATTTTTCACAATTTTCCATAAACTTAAGTTCTGATATGCTTAGCCTTTTTTCATCAAAAAAAGATATGCGCGAAAACTTTTAAACATTAACTAAAAAAAATCTAAATCGAATTTTGAAGAAACATACAAAAGTCTACTCACAGTGAAACACCATGAGTGACCTAAATAAGTATATAATGAAATATTTCTTCTAACAACCACGAAATGAGCCATGATAATGATAGTCTTATTTATGGTAAAAATTAGAATCTGAAATGACTCACCAGCAAATGCAACGTGCACTTTATTTTCAGGACGGAAGATCTGCACGTACTGAGGAACGTTGGGCGCGAAATCTCGAACTGCCCACGATCTGAGGATAGTGTGCTCATCCTAAAAAAAAAAAAAAAAAAAAAAAAAAAAAAACATAGACAAAATATGTCATTCAAAAACATCCTACTGAACATAAATGTCCAGAGCAATTACATGAAATACTCGTAATTCCTTAAAACGAATCATTAAAGCATTGGAGATGCTAAGGCAACTAGAATCAGAGTAATATTCGATGGATTAAATATAGAACTTCCTTCTGCAACTACAGAAGTGCAGATGATGAAAGAGAAGTTCACACTCAGGCAATAACAATGAGAGGAAGAAAGTCCTACTGGTGTCATCTATTGACGAAAAATGAATGCGACTATGAAATAATTTCCCTAAGAGTACAGACGAATTAAATTGGGATCGTTAACTAGAACTGGAAGAAATTTACGAACGTGACACACCTCTAGAAAATCTAATTTTCCACAGAAAGATGGTTTTTGAACAATTTTGGCTACAGAAAAATGGAAAATATGATTTTCAAGGCAGCAATGTTGGTAACAGGGATTTATGTATTTCTCGTATCCTAATATACGCCTCATGTCCCTTAGAGAAAAATTATAAAGCTGACCTATTTCGACCAATGTAAATTAAACCTCATTGGCAAAGAATTCTCTCTCTCGGTATATATATATATATATATACCGCAGGATCTTGTTATTGCCTCAGCACAGGCTTCTCTTTCCTCATTTGCACCTCTACAGCCGAAGAAGCAGATTCAATATCCCACCAGCAATGTTGGGCAGCAGAAGATTTATGTGTTCCTTTTATCCTAGTATATGCCTCATGTTCCTTAGAGAAAAACTATAAGGCTGCGCTGATTTGACTAATATAAATTAAACCATATTGGCACAGAATCCTATATATACTCTAGGATCTTGTTATCAGAGCACAGGCCTTTGTTTCATCATTTGCACTTCTGCATATGAAGAAGCAGGTTCAATATTTAAACCTTCAAAACTAGTCCTGAAAATGTATGAATTCTACTCTGATTCTATGGCAGTTGGCTTATAATCGTTATTAAGGTATTATTTTAACTCCGATTCTATAAGGTACTTCATTAATTTAGTTTTTGTCAGAAGTTTAGATAGAAAATGCTTCAGTGTACTTAGGCATATTGAAATAAACTCACAATTATTAGTTACATAATTTATACTTGCATAAGGAATTATCATAAAACTATGGAAAAACAGAAAGAGAAAGTTCAATTTGACACAGATTGAAAGTTTGCTGATTTCACGAACTACTGCCGTAAGTCCGTTTTTTATGTGTAAAATGTTTTTGCAGTGGGCGCGAAGTCAATAGGCAAATAAATGAGATAATGAATATTCGACAAAAGAAAACGAACATAATGCGATATGTCGAGAAAAGGAGAAATAAGAAAAAAAGAGAAAGCACAAGTATTAGAATTTTGAAAGCGAGGGAAAAATTGCTTTAGAAATGAGGTAAAGAATGAAAGAAGAAAAGTTTGACTCGAATTCATCAGCTAAAAAGATTCTGTGGATAATTTCAGCAGAAATAAAGTCAAAATTACTGTTAAAGGACCAGCCGGAGGGAAGATCCTTTTCCAGCGTAGGATTCGTGCTCCTAAAAGCGAAATTTTAACATTGTCCTAGTTTTTCCAATGTTTATTAACCCACACTGAGTAAAGAAAAAATGTTCCCCAAATTAAGGTCAGTGAGAAGGGAAGAGCAATCAATTTTAATTCATAGTTGAAGATATATTGACATGTGTTTTTTCTATCTAGTGACTATTGATTTAATTGCAAAAAGTTATAAAGTTAAATAAAAGTTATTTCATAAAGTCTCAATTTTCGATTACCGGAAAAATTGTTAGACAAATAATATTTTAATTACGTTAATTATAAAAAGGCCTTTTTACCTTCCAGCTGATTATTGAATGGTAAAGCTGAAACTTTTGATACTAAGATTTTCTGCAGTACAAATATCGGAAGTTTATGCACATGTATTTCATGAACCTATACATAAACACTTTTTTCTAAAAGTTAGCAGTGTCAAATGCTTGCTCACTGCACAATTCGAAAACAGCTAACGGGCCAGAATTATTAATAATTATTAATAAATATTATAATTAAATTATTTTAAGTAATACTAAAATTTATTATCAACAAAATAAAAAATATATTTTAACTAGTTTTAAATTTCGCTTGCTAACTATTTATTAAAAACAAACGTAAACAATTGTTCACTTCCACGCCTGTCGAATTAATTTCTACCTTTTCGTTGCCCTGCGTTGGCAACACGCTTTTGAGATTTGTCGTTCGTAGAATTCGGTCGCTAAAAGCGTAGCTGGCCTGTAACGGTTGTAATTCTTATTTTATGCTTATCTGTACTCCTGAATTATTACTAAATGTTTACGTGTGAATGTTATATCATTAAATGTCTTCAGTTTGATTTAAATACACCAAGAGTCGACTGAATTTATTAAGGATATTTAAAACCGAAACTGCGTCATCCATGTCGGCGCCATTCTGATACGAAGTACGTAAACAACAATAATAGCATAAAAGAAAAAAATCCAAATTTATATTTCTTTTCTATCTGAAATCTGAAGTTTTATACCTACAAGACATTTTCGTTGATTGCAGTTTGTAAATAATAACATTTAAGAGTGGCAATTATTTTAAGTAATTCTAATATGTTTAATTAATCATTAAGTAACTTACTTTAATTTAAATTAAAAGTGAAGAATTACGAAAACTTTCCAAGTGGGAAAATCTTGAGGATAAATAATGACAACATAATCTTCTTCTATAACTTATTAAATTTTTTTCGATATATAAACTGAAATGCATATGTTTGCATGTGAATATTTATCACTATCCAATTGGCGTTTTTTGTTTTTGTAATTAATCTTATTGCGAAAATTAAATATAAATGTATAATCACAAATTAATGCAGATTCCAAACAAAGCGAATATTCTTAGTGAAAAAATTTGTAAATGAGCGTACTTAACGTTTTTCAAGTACGAATAAAAGTTAATCAAATCTGCATCTTTTAATAAGATTTATGTCAAGTGATTAGCTACATTTATTGATCTTTTGGATCTTTTGGATTCATGTTAGTTTTGAATGAAAAGGAAAATCATGCAAACGGGGACTTAAAATATATAAAATTGTGAGATCTTTGCAAAGAATACACAACTAAAATGCATTCGCGGACCGTATAAAATTGCTTTATGGGCCGCCATTTGACTTTACCGATATAAGTGATGACAAAACTAGAATCTTCTGAAAAACAAGGAATGCTGTTACGTAATTTTTTTCAAATTCCAGCGAACTGCCTGATACGACATTGCCTTTCACAGCTATTTGCCGCCATTTTTTTTATTTCTATCACTCGAAACACATATATTTAATTTTACATCTAAATTTTAAATACTAAGATTATCGTCTGCCATTATCTCATTTCTAAAGCTCGTTAAGAACTAAGTTTAAATGATGTTTAGTAATTTGATGTTATTAAGCTCAGACTTTGGTTTATTCTTGATTATAAGAGTTGAGTGTTCCTTGGAAATATTTTCCAAGAAACAAAGTTATTATATGTTGTCGTTTAGGTTCCGTAAATTAGGCAAATTATAAGGATTCAAATAGCGCTATCGCTTGACAGTGCTTCAGGGAATTAATTCTAGTTTAGCAATCTTCTATCGTGAAACAAATAATTATAGGTACTTCCAATACTTTAGAATTTAATGGTTTCCGTACAAAGAGTGAAAGCTTTTAGTAAGCATACTAAGTTATCAGTCAGCAAAAATCATAAATATATTTTATAACTTTGAGGGCCTGGAGCCTTATTTGCACTAAAGGGGTAAGTGAATCAACTCGAGTGCTATGAGATTTTGTTTTGCCTTCTCTATTAAGACAACCTTTCTAGAATTATGTGAGTAAATGCCCGTGGTTGAATAAATAAATACATATCTAAATGCATTAAATATACGGCAAACCCTTGCTGAATGCGGATCTTCGAAATTCAATTCTGTAATTACGCGTTATCTTAATTGTTTTCATTTAATTTGTAATGTTTCTCAGTGTTACTGGTTCAACGAATGTTATAGTTAAAAGCATTGCTAAACTCGAAGATCTAAAAAAAAAAAAAGTTACCTTACACATATTTTAATTTTACAAAGGAAAGAATTTCTACATATGGGAAATAAATAAATCTGCACTAATTCGTTGCGAATGTTGCTTATAGTTGTCATCAGAATATCAGTGGTAGAAAATATAGCGAATCAGATCAGCAGTATCTGACAACCAAACTGCTCGACCAAACTGGTTGTTTACCGCTAATTCATGGAAAACGGAGATGTAACATCTGCGCTTTCGCTTATGTAACCCGATACATTCTCGATAGGCAGTCTTTTGTTTTTATGAAAAAGGAGTATAAATTAACTGCTATATTTGCATTTTCTTCTTGCATAAAAAAAGTAAAATAATTTAAATTTGGGATCTGCCTTCTACAGAAGTGCAATTAGAGGATTATTTTCAAAGTTATGGGATCCCACTATTAAAAAGTGTGTATTATGGGCCTGCTATGGTCAACTGAATATGACCGAATGTTTTTAAACAGAGCTTTCAATAAAATGGAAGGGTTTAACAGAAGAAGAGAAACTGACAAAAGTCTTTTTATGAAAAGAAAGCACGAAGCGGGTCGAATACTGATTCTTTTATTAAATAAACAGCCTCCCAACAGGTGTAGTGTTTTTCATCGCTGACTGCCGTGCCAAAGGGCCCGGTTTCTAATCTCAGAGAAGGCATGGATGTTTGTAAATGTATAGTGTCCGTGCGGCATGGGGGGCATTCTAAATATGTGGGGAGTCGAAAGTCCTCTCGATAGGTTGGTGGTAGGGGGAGAAGGGTGGGAGACCCTCGGACTCGTCGCCTCCCGGGGTGCTGTTTACGAAAATTGGGGGCAGAATTGAGCTAAATCGCACTGTCATCTGTAAGGTGCTCAAGGCTGTTGCCAACGGCAGGCGTAAACTTGCGCTGCTTGCCACGAATAGAGTTTCGTGGTCTTGAGCTGACTATAAGTCAGACAAGTGAACATTAACAACAACAATAAATAAGTAGGTGTAAATTCTTTCAGAATTCCACAGGAACGACTGGCACAAATTTCGCGAGTTCTAAGTCCATTTTTCATGGTTCGATGAATCTTGTGCAATATCGATTCTACGATGTAATATCGATTCTACGATTCTATGTTGATCCTGTGCATTATCGATTCTACAAGTAATCTTTTTACTGTAAATGTCATTGCAATACATTCTTTAGTTTTTATGTAATGAATTTTCGTAATAATCACACTGCAGAAGAGTTCTATGAGGAAGAAGTTCTATGAGGGTAAGCTTTTCTTCAATGTGTTGTAGGGTTCTGTTGTAACTGGAAGTTAAAGTCTTGAAAACTATATTAACTAGGTATCGCTACGTCATAAACGTGGCTATTTAAATAATTTGTATTTACTTATGGATATATTTAATTTAACATAACTGAAGTTAAATTCAGGTGTAGATAACGTAGTCTAAGATTGCACATAAAACAGAGCAATTAAGCTGGCTCAGGTAATTATCACAGCGTGTTTTAAAGCATCGGCTAGCGAGACGATAAAGCAGGAATATAAGTTTAAGAAGAGCTAAAGCAAGAAAGTAACTAACAGCAAGACGCGATTGCCAGAAGCTCTAATCTAAACATTCAGAACTCTCAGATTAAATACAAAAATTATCTAATTTGCATCTTGGTAAGGAATATGGAAAGAAGATGTTATAATGAAGGCTTAAATCACAATAACTGGTTAATTAACATAAAATGCTTTACTATGCATTTGAGAATTTCTTAACAGTAAATGTGTTGAGAGTTATAGCAGAGATTATAGTTCCAGAAATTTACTTACGGCGGCGCTTCGATCCACGTAGTTTCTTGCTGCTAGTATGAAGCAGGCTTCTGCGGCGTTCATTCTAAACACAAAAAGGGGGGAAACAGAGAAAAGAAATCCATTAGAGCCGTCACTTGCATAAAAATCCACTCCACAAAAACCCCGTTTAGGGAAAAATGAAGGAAATTAGGTATGCGCATACACAATGTTTGCCTTTTTCTGAAGGAAACGCTTTCCTACTGTTCAATAATTCAGAAACAGGAGAATAATTCTTTTGTAATCGAATTCTGTGCGGCTGTATCCATCTTTCTTTCCTTCTTTTTTATACAACACTCTAAACGGTTACAGAAAACTGAATGAAAATAAGATAAAGGCCTACGAGTTGTGTTAAAAAGCAGAAGGAAAATATTTATGGTATTTTGCATCTGCTGGATGGATTTTGTCATTTATTCAGTCATTGATAAATAGAAGAATAAATAAATATTTAAAAAGAAAGAAATTGTTTGTTATTAGATAAATAAAAACATCGTAAATCGCTAAAACTTTTTGTAGTGTTCGATTCATGCAGAAATTATTGTACATTTAATTTAAATCTTTCAAAATTCATGTTATTACCTCAAAAGGGCTGTTAGTTTCGAAAGACGAATTCGTGTTTTTGGCATTTTCATTCGAGTCTGTTGCCATTAAGTAAAATATAAGATATTATTCTTAAATAAGCTATTTAAAAGCAATAAACGAAGTTTTTAAGAATACTTTTTTGATTTTTTAATTAGATTGATTTAAATAAAAATGCATTTAATTCATTATATACCTAATTAAAAACATTAAACACTTTTATAAAATTACTGTGTATATGAAACATATTTAACGGATAATAGACGGAATATATATAACGTTTGCACGTCAGTTTAAATGCGTATCCATTTAATATCCTATAAAATGTTTCTCTATTCCACCTTGGCCATCTCTATCGATAATCCCTTCCGATAACCCATGTTAAACTTTAAAAGAACGCCTTCGAGCGACCGTTGAAATCTGAACCTTTCAGATTTTTTTATAATTTTTTAGTCCAAAGGGGCTTTGTCCCGGAAGGACTATTGTTTTCGTTTTGCGATTTTGCGTTGAATCATTATAAATGTCCGTTTCACTTTTGAAACTGTTGCCACCAAATGTTAGAGTCCTGCATTATATTCGAAGAAATTAAATAATGAAAAGTCTGCATAAATGTATGTATATTTCTCGCATTGTGATAAAACAACGGTACGTAGATCCATCGAATTTTGAATGAGTAATCCTCCTACGAATATGGGCATGTGGAAGAACAAATTTGAAATTTGGAATTTGTTTTATGATGGATTTCATATTTTGTAAAACTTTAACGAATTTTTAATTAACAAACTCAAGGATTTCAAAGCGAGCAATGGCAACACTATACGGGAGGAAAATAAATCTCTTTTTATCTCCAGCGATTTAATTGAGTAATAGGACCTCACGAAAACTGGAGGAAACGGGCGTTTGCCAAAATCCTCATCTCCTTTCTTCTTGCTTAAAAGCAAGATTGCATCACCAGCGCGCGGAACTGTGTATCGGAAATTCTAAAGATATGCTTATTTTAAAATCATCTTGCGACATTGCTATTGAACTGAATTTTATGGTTTAAGTGCAAAGAACATAATATTTAATAAATAAAGGTAACACACAAAACGTTGAAAAAACGCCTCTTTGGATGTAATTTAAAATCTGAAACCTTTCAGATTTTTTTAAAATTCTATATTCCCTTATTTTCCTATATTCGGGTCATTAGCTGTGACTTTATTTTCCATAAATTCATTCTACTTTGAAAGTATAATGAATGTGTTGGAATTCTCATTATGGATGCTCATAGTTTTATAGATTATACGTATAAATGATATTCTCGCGTATTTAATTTTTACTGCAAAATTATTGAAAAACTTTATAAATTAGAAAATAAACTTTGATAACTTTATAAATTAAAAAAATATGAACATATGATGAATATCTACAATTTAACTAATAAGAATTTTGATTTCTCAACAAGAAAATACTTTGCAACCATTAACAGGTTATTTAAATACAAGACATAAATATTAAATACTAGCATATATTGATTTAGGAATAGGCTAGTACTTCATTTAAAAGAGGTTCAGCTTCAAAGTAATCTTTTTGCATTAAATATAGATAGGGGAAGCATTTTTCAAAATGAAGACACCTGCATTGATCTGCTTGCAACCATCTGCGTTGCATAAACATCTGCGTTACATCCGCGTTTCGGCTACTGCAATGAATTTTGATATTGATTCTACTGGTATCAAAAAGTATTGAGAATGAATCATTTAAAATATGCATGCGAAAAAAATTCATCACAAAGCTTTTTCGAAGCAATTAGGATTTCCAATTTCCAAATTGTTTATAACCTTCTTGAAATCCAAGATCTTCAGGCTCAGGGAAAATAAATGTTTTTAAGCAATTAATCCAATTTCGACAACTTAATCGACATCTGGTAAAAATAAATTTGTACATAAGTTCGTTTTCAATAAACAAAAGAATTTTTGCTTTGATATTTTGCCAAAATGGCGAACGTTATTGTGCAATCTAAGTTTTGTTTTTGTAATGAAATTTCTCTACTTTGAAAGTAGAGAGTTTCTCTCTGTCTCTATTCTCAGTCTCAAAACTTCTTGAAAATTTAAAGACGCCTTTGACAATCACACTTTATCAAAATCCATAGTTTTTACTGATACAGTAAGTGCCACTTAGTTTGATCCCGTTTATCTAGCTAATTTGATAACATTAATATTAAGCGATGAGAAAAAAATATCCTTCAAAACAGCAACGGAGTTTAATTAATTTAATATGGATACAACAAGAAATACATAAATAAATACTTTCACGGAATTTTAATTACGAAAATGCAAATATTTGTTCACGTTCATAATCGACAAAGTTATTCAAAATCTAAGCCAAACTAAGAAAGCTTTTTTGTCTAGTTTTAAATGGTTAATTAAAATCGAAAAAAAAAAAAAAAAAAAAAAAAATCTGAAATGTTTCAGATTTTAAATTACATCCAAAGGGGCGTTTTTTAACATTTTGTGTGTTACCTTTCTTTATTAAATATCATGTTCCTCGCACTTAAACCATAAGATCCAGTGCAACAGCAATATCGCAAAATAGTTTTAAAACGAGCATATCTTTAGAATTTCCGATACAGAGACTCACGCGCTGGAGATAAAAATGTTTTTTCTGCACAACGTTGCCATTGCTCGCTTTGAAATCCTTGAGTTTGTTAATCAAAAATTCGTCAAAGTTTTAAAAAATAGAAAATCGATCATAAAACAAATTTCAAATTTCAAATTTGGTCTTCCACATGCTCATATTCGTTGGAGGATTACGTTATTCAAAATTCGATGACTCTATGTACCGTTGTTTTATCACAATACGAGAAATATACATACATTTATGCAGATTTTTCATTATTTAATTTCTTCAAATATAATGCAGGACTCTAACATTTTGTGGCAACAGTTTGAAAAGTGAACCGACATTTATGAGTCCGACGCAAAATGCCAAAACGAAACTAATAGTCCTTCGGGATTCAAATCCCTTTGGACTAACAAGCTCTTTGGCTGTCACGTTTTGGCGATATGTTTCTGTTTCTTGCCAATTTTCATAATTTATTTGACTTTACTTCAATAAAAATGTTTTATGGATAATACATTGATCATACTAATAAAATTGCTGATTACAATAGGCGATGCGATTTCCCGTGGTCGCAACACTCTCGTCGTGGAGAAACGTGATCACATTAAACGGCGCCTACTGTAATCTAATAAAATACAGAAAATGACTTCGCAACAATTTTGGTCTCATTTGAAATGGAGATTTAATATATGCAGAGAATACAGTTGAAAAATTTCCTGAGAAAGCGACATTTTTGTATACAAATACAGTCTATGTCCCGCAGCGCAACAGAAAAGCAATTCAGCACAAAAGATCCTAAGCAATGATTTGAAATTCAAATAATTTTAACTAAACAAACTGAAGAAAACATTTTCCCCTTACCTTGCTCTGGTGAGATCTGTATCTTTCAAAGCAGAACCTTGAATGTAAATTACTCTCTGTGCCCACATGGGTACTTGTAGAATCATCTTCATAGTTGCATCGAGCTCGCAAGGAGATAAGAGCACGACGTAGAAGTCCTAAGAAAAATATTCATGAATCAAAACAGTATTAGAAGTATCCTAGAAATGAAACAAATTCATTTGGAGGTTAGAGGGAAGCAATATTCAGCAACAGAAACTGGAGAATTATCGCATCCCTTCGTTCATTCACTCTGTATAAGATGACACCAGGTCAAAGCAGGAATTAGAAGCAGTTTTATGCGGCCCACGAATACATTTCAATTATCTATTTGTTGCAAATATGGTGTTGCAAAGATGTCAATATTTTATTTATTTGAAGTCTGAGTTTACGTTATTTTCATCACCATTGAAAATGAACATGAATAACGCACCACAATATCTACAAATGAGCTAAATTATTTATAATATGATATAAATCTTATTTAATGATTTGAAGAAAAGGATTTGATTTACTTTTACTTGTACTAACCAAAGGATATGTAAACTGAATTACGATTTGTTTTTGCGCTAAGAGTAATCGCTTTGTTTGGGAATATACGTACATGTGAACAGCGTTTTTTGGTAACAGAAAATTTCGTGATAAAAATAATATCTAGTAATTTCTCTTCAAGGCTCCAAATTTTATCAGAATTGAAACGTCATCAAATAGCAAGCTGTAATAACAAATAACGAAGTTTATAATTGCTTACATTGAAACGCACAGATATTTGTATTTTTAGTTATTTATATATTTAGCTCATTATTTATTCTCAGTTTTTGTTCCACTAGTAAAATTTTCACTGCAAACTTGAATAATCAATAATTAACAAAACTAAGGATATGAGCGCAATCTAAGATGTAAAGAGGCGGAACGAGGTTGTCGACGGGTGTAGATAAGAGTTCAAGCGTCGTTCAACCGGGATAATGTTTAGAGACTCTGACTGTCTTACCGAAGGGCCTGGGTTCGAATCCCGGAAAAGGCATGGATGTTTGTAAACGTATAGTGTCTGTGCGGCATGAGGGCACTCAAAATGTGCCGAAAGTCCTCTCGAAAGGGTATTGGTAAGGGAAGAGGGGTGGCGATCTTAGGATCCGTCCCTCGGAGGAGCTGTTCTTCAAAAATTTGGTGCGGAACTGCGTAAAGTCGTACTGTTATCTGTATGGTGCCCCAGGCTGTTGCCAACGACAGGTGCAATCTTGACTCGATGAATTTATTGACTTTCTCTGATTCAGACAAGCGAGATTAGCAATAACAACAACAAGAGCTCAAGCACGGTAAGACGCCTCCGTCTAAGATTTCTTGTGTAGGGTTCACATGACTAATTTGATTGTAATTTAACTAATTGACTAATTTGATTTGTAATTAATTAATCACATGACTAATAAAATTTAGTCACAAAATTAAAAATGATCTTACCACATCATACACAAGCATTCAGAGAAAGTGAAATAATTACACGCCATTTTAATACAAAAAGATACGGCAATATACAAAGTACAAAATAAATACAAAATGCCGAAATATAGAGTCACTTGTGAGTGTTTTCTAAAAAACAGTGAACAAAAAGTGGTTTTAGAGGAGCGTCGGCTGTGACAGATGTCGCCGTTAGCTGAGATAAACTCCAGTGCAAACAGTATTTAACGGAAGAAATTTCTGAAATACTTTTCTCTTAAGGAGGAACTCTTCCTTACTCGTGTGACCATGATCATAATTTAGTTGAAATTCATAATTTTCATTCAAACGTTTCGACAGAATAAAATATGTATAACAAGTGTACGTAGCAGTTGAAATCTCTTTGTTATTTATTTGAATTCTTTATGTAGAGTAAAAACTATTGTTATTCTTAATTTAATTTTGTATGGAAATTTAGAATCTAACTATTCTTAACTTGCCTGGATGATCCACTTGACTAGCCCACATAGACGCACCACAAATATGCCGCCGGGTGGATCCCGCCTTTCGCCCCCGTCTAGTTACGCTAGGACAAACTAATGTATGGCTTATAAATAATTTTTATTTGTACCTTTTATTAGATTTACCTTAAATCAATACCTACATGTGGATGTGTGCATAACTTTTGATACTGACACTTAAACGAACAGCCAACAGAAATTTCTTGCAGATACCAAACTTTAGAGTTCAGACAGAAAATATAAATAAAGTCGATTTTTATCCTTTTGACTCTGTAATTAGTATCTGTTAACGTACTCGTATTTTTTATGAATATTTAGTAAGTGAAATTTGAAATTTAAGGCCCGGTGGCGCAGTGGCTACTATGTCGCGCAGCAGTACCATAGGTCCGGAGTGCTTTTGAGCACGGTTGACTTAACCTTGAGTGATTCGATAAAATGAGTACCAAGTTCAGTTGGGGACAAAACACCAGAGGTTCTGCGACAAACTGATCACTTGTCCAGGGTATAAGTTCATGCTCTCCGGAGCCCACGGTCAAGAAAGCAGATATCAGAGCTATTAAAAAATAATCTAGGCTCATTAGGTGATTTCAGATCGTGCATTGGATCCTCTCAAAGTCTGAGTATGAGTCCACTGTCCTAAAGTATACGTTATTGATTTTCTGAAATGTCGTATAGTGTGTAAGGATCTTAAGTTTTACTAACGTTTATTTTATTTTAAATCTTTACTATCACTTCTTATTTTCTACTTCCGGCCAGAATTATAAGCGTTAAGGCTTTTATGCAAAGTTTGTCTGGCGAACGCCAAGTATTTAAGTTGTGGCTTTTTGCCAAGCAGAGAGAGGAAGCAGTGAGTTCGAAGCAGGCCGCTTACCTTAGAAGTTTACGCAGTTGCTTGTTGCCTTCCAGGCCAGAGGTTTTAATCCTCTTGATAAATTTAAACGTATTGTAGTGTTCACAGTCTCTGTACTACATACGCTTCCTGTTAGTATAAGGCCAATCTTCCACGTTTATTATTCTAAAGTTAAATTAGAGTTTAGTTTTATTTTTATACTTTTACGTTAGACCCCCAAGTAGCGGGTCAGTGTATTCCGAAGTACGGAAGTTATTGTATATAGAGAAAAATAAAGGGTTTTGTATACACTTCATGTGTATCCTGTCTACTTACCACAATTAGTGAACATAGCTTTAGTAAGCTCTCTGTTCCGAGTCAGGTCCTTGTATGTTCCCGAAGAAGGTAAGAAGGAACATTGACCCTGATAGTGGCGCCCAACGAAGAAGAATAACCATGGCCGAGTTTCAAGAAGAACCTGTGCTGCCTGCAGAAACGGCTCAGAATCCAGAAATGCCAGCTGCCGCCCTGGAAGGATTTGGTTACATCGTCCAGACCATGCGCGCTTCGATGAAACCAGAAGCAACATTTAATAGAAACTCACCGGTAACCAGTTTTTTGGAAAAATTGGATGACCACTTCATGCTCTACCCCGTGCACGAATTTCAAAAAGTTACCTTAGCTACCAGCGCTTTGAGGGGCCAAGCGCTTAACTGGTTCAAATGTATAGGCACTTCTGCACTTTTCTCTTGGGTTAAGCAGGAAGTCCCACCTATACTTACGAAAATTTCAAGACTGCCCTACTAAAAGCCTTCCCTGTTGTAAGGGATCGTGCGAAATTAGAAACGGAACTTTTCAGTATATATCAACAAAGAATCGAAAATCCTCTCGAAACTTTATTTTAAGAAAAATTCACGTCTTTCAAACTCTTGTATGGAAACCGTCCGGATCCTGAAATAATTCAAGTGATTTTGCCGAGGTTACTGCCCCAAGTGCAAGACTTTATTGAATTAAGGAAATCCGAACGACACTGGAAAAAGTTATTTGAGCTAGCAATCCAGTTTGAAAGTAGAAGAACGGTTTGGACGTCGAAAGAAGACGCCAGTATCAACAGCGAAACCAATTTGGTACGCCAAGACTACAGCAAACTCAAGCACACGGCTACGGAGAAAAAGCGAATCAGTGGGCAAGGAAACCCGAGCATTCCAAAAACAGCCGGCGAACGTCGACAGTTCAATAGCAAGCCAGAGGAAAAAAAGTCTCAAGGCCAGTGGAAAAAGAAGGAAAGCACGGAAAGGAAAAATAATTTAAACTAAAACGGATTTCTGCTGACGAGAGGGTGCGGAAATCCGAAGGCCACGAAAACCCCTCTTCCTTCAAGTTAAATACAGTAATGGTGAAAAATTTGACTCTTCCGAAGATTGAAGTGTTGGTGAATAATATCCCAGCCACCGCACTCCTGGATACACGGCGCGCAGTGTTCCTGTGTGGCAGAAGATTTTTTTTTTTTTTTAGGAAGTATTTTCGTAATATACCGCATATATAATTCGGATATAATACGACAGTGTTAGCTGGCGCAAGGAGGAAACAAAGTAAGTGCATAGGTAAAGTACCGCTTGTATATCCGTATCAAGGACGAAAAGTAAAGGTGATGTTTTTTATAGTAAAGAATCTGCAAGCACATTTAATTTTAGGAATAGATTTTCTTTCAGAAGGCCGACAAGCAACGCTGGATTTTAATGAAGCGTCCCTTAAGCTGACAATGAAACCAGTTCGTACAGAAAACGCTGAACCGCCGATGTTAAAACTTGACCACCTCCCTAATGACGAGCAAGGAAGAATCCGACAAGTGGTAAGTGAATTTGCTTCGTTATTTAGTGATATTCCAGGATTTACTCAGGTTACTAACCATAGTATTGACACCGGAGATGCAATGCCAGTTCGTCAAAAACCATACCGGTATGATAAGAATAAGGAAAAAATTATAGAATGGCATTTTACCGATATGCTACGTAAAAAGATCATAACGCCCATCTCAAGTAGTTATGCTAGCCCGGTGGTTTTATGTAAGAAAAATAATGACTATCCTTTGACGCATCCAAAAAGGTGGAGATTCGCTATTGATTACCGTAAATTAAACTCCATAACTAAATATCCGGTATCCGTTACCGATCATAGAAGAAATTTTAAGGAACATAAAATCAACCAAATTTATGACGACTTTAGACTTAACGACTGGTTATTTTCAAATAGGGGTTAGGCCTGAGGACGTGCCTAAGACTGCTTTTATAACCAAGTCTGGCACTTATGCATTTTTGCGTATGCCGTTTGGCCT